TGCCGAAACTTTGCACGCAATTTCAACAACTTTTTTGCCGTTAAAAATGTGTTTAGGTGCCATGTACTTTAGATTTGAGGTACTTTCACCAGTCGATGGAACACTTAGAATGCTTCGGCTTGGCATCAGTCGAAATTTTGTGGTAGTATCCTGCCCAAATCTCGTTGCGCATATCCTATAAAGAATTCAAATTTCTTCTGACTGCTAAACCGTAGTTCTCTAAGAGTTCTTTTACCAATTTGATTGTAAGTTTTTAGTTTTGACTTCAGGAACTTTTTCCACAATAGTCGTTTTTCTCTTCACTACTGTTTTTGCTACGGTTCTTATTTTTTTTGGCGGTTCGGCGTTTTTCTTTTTAATTTTCTTCTTTTGTATGAGAGCTTTTCTTGCCTTATTAACGCGCTTAAAAATACGTTTTGCCACATGCAAAATACACTTCAACTTTTTAACAATGAGATCTCCACCGTATGGATGATAATAAAGCAGCATTTTAAAAGCCTTGGTGTCTCCGTAGCCGATATAAAAACCGTGCGCGCCGAACGCTCAGGAGAGCGGTCCGAGATAGTAACGTTCAGGCAGCAAAAAAATGTAGTTAGAGGCATCGGATCTTTTTGAAATTTTAACACAATATTTTTACATATATATATATTCGAAAAATGTAAAAAAAAATTAGATTTTTTCAAAATTGCAGAGTAGAACATCCCCTTAATTCTCACCTGCGCTCAGTTGGACAGCTTACAAGTCACGGCATAGTGCTAAAAATTATTATTTTATGCCCTTCTATCGTCCAATACAGGTTTCCTGCGGGATCATATGACCCATCGAGTTTTTAGGTCGGGTCTGTAGTCTAGTAGGAACGCTCCTCTCGATACGAGCCGGTATACTATTTTTCTGCTTTAACGTTATCATTTTGAGGTCAGAAGAATGAAAAATTTTTTTGTAAAACCTCGCAGAATCCTTTTGTAAAGATTGCAAACAATATTTTTAAAAAGTTTGTATGTTTAAAAACTATTTAAATATGTTATCAAAAATACTTTAAAAAATGTTGCAAAAAAGTTTTTAAAATTATTATTTTAATACACGGGATATATTAATTGAATTGAATTGGTAAAAATGAATAAGTATTTACAGTATTTTTTCGTATTTCAAAACCTAATTTTATTTAGGAGTTATCACATGCATTCAAATATACTTTTTAATTACTCAAGTTTAATTTTGGCTCCAATTGTATTCTTTGACTACTCTGCACCAGTTATAATGATGCGCACGCGCTCCCCGCTTTATCAGCACAGTGAAAAAGCAACTGTACAAGAATAAAAGAGACACACTGTACCTATATTTCCAAACATTCTATGGATGATGCAAGTTTTGCATGATATTTGTTAATTTTAAGTAATTGTTCATGATCCATTATATTATTGTTCATCCATCCGTTAATATAAAACATGTAAGTATGTATTATTATTATTTTTTTCAAACGTACGCGTTTGTATAATTATTTTTTATTTTTATTGTATTTCCAATAGGATAAGATATACATACTGCTTTTGCAGGTTAGATATCAATTCTATTTTTTTGTAGAATTTTTTATTTACAAACGTCTATTTTATTTTATTATTATTTATTTTATCATTGTATATTATTATTTACTAATTTCTATAAATATTAATTTCAAAAATTTACATTAAAAAATTTTTTTATAAATATATCTTGGGATATACTAATTTGTTAAATATTCATTCTTATAATTACTTTTTATTTATTTTATCTAAATAATATTGTTGATTTTTTTATTCAAGCAGCCCTTGTTATCTGCAATATTTCGCCAATTTGTCAATATTAACAAGAGAGTACAGAAGCAGAGTCTTGGAAGCAACATCAGTTAAATATTTACTGGTTGTTGTACCTACAGTTGTACGCTGACCTTAGAGGAAAAACCTGTTGACACAAGAAGTAAATGCTTCCACTTTTAAACGTATAAACCATATACTCACCCTACCCAATTATACGGTTATCTTCAACAAGGAAGTTTGTGACACAAGAAGGCTTCATAAGTTTTGCATTACTGGCACTCAGGTTAATATTTGTGCTTTCTTTATTTTTATATACTTTCTCATTAGATATGTTTTATACATTATTTTTCTCCTTCACATATGTTTTTTCCATTATTTATAAGTGTATTTTTAATACAAAGTGGACTAATTATAATTTTATTTTACTTAAGCAGCTTCAAAGCAAATATTAGTTGCAAGGATTGAAGCCACTGGTCATACCTACAATTCTACGCTGGCCTGTAAGAAGAAAATTGTTAAGACTTGGAGTAAATTCTTCTGTGTTTCAACATATAAGCCACACACTGATCATATCCAGTTTATCTTCAGCGAGGAAGTTGGTGACACAAGGAGGCTTCTTAAGTTTTGCATTTTTCAAGTTCTGATAAAGCTACCAAAGCATTCAAGTTTTGAGGTGTTTTTCACAACTACCGTTTTTGTAATAAAAAATTAAATAAAATGAATAAAAAAATTTTATGCATTTTAAGACTTCATTTAACAAACCCAAAAACTTTTATATCGGTATCTTTTATAGTTTTCTTGGAAAAAATTCGCGAAAATAGCCTTTTTTTAGGTGCTTCGGGTGGAACACGTCCCCTTAAAGGAGAGATCACATTTCTTCCGACATGCAAAAAAACACTACGAGATGAAGCCTTGCCAACGATCGAGCATCAATTTATCCCTATACCTATACATGTACTTTAAACAGGAGTTCCCATCATAAATAAATCGCAAACGCTGAATTCTAATCATTATAAATCAGAAGCAAAACAGGATCTTCAAGCACCATCACGATGAATTAAAACAAGAAGAATCGTGAGTTGATCAGGGAGTTCCTGATAATTTAACACATGTGATTGTACAAACTGAACAGGATTTTGAAATACCACAGTTGAATCAAGAGACTCATAATGATATACTGAACGATAAAGAACCTGAAATACCTTCTCAGTCAGCAGATAAATTTTTGGATAATCTAAAATCTTCAGTGCTACCGCAAGGTTGGACGTATTTCGAAAAACCTAAAGGGCTAGAATTTGTACGGATGAATGCAACAACTATGCAAATCAAAAATCGTCTACGAGTAAACAAGGACTTCTGTGTTACTCTAAATACTGAAAAATCCAAATGTATTTGTCTTTCTTTCATTATAACTATAATTAATTGCAAAAACATTGAGGGTTATTTTTTCTACTAATGAAGAATTGACTGTAAATGACAATATTTGTTCATTCAATAGTATCGACAATTATTTGACATCAGTAGAAAGATGGCCATTATGCGTTGGTACTTAAATTGACAAGATAAATCAAGTTTGATTTTTAGAATGAATAAACTGCTACGACAAATAAGATTATAATTACCTTTTTTAATAATTACATTAAATTTAAGGTATTCAGAAACTTGTAAGGGGTTAATTGTTAGTAATGATTCTTGTAAGAGAAATCAAGCGAATCTAAGATGTAAATCTTGTAGAATTTTACGGCATCGTTTGTAGAGCTGTAGTTCTACTTTAACTATTTTAAACACAACAATTTCTCAAAAATGACGTGCTTCTAATCTACAAAAACAATGTAAACGTCTAAGAAGAATGGTAAGTTATTTTAATAACAGCATTTATAAAGCTTGAAGCAGCTATTAACACTAACAATGAGCCTATTTCCTGAAGTACGAAAAATTACTCACTAGCAGCGCTAGTAGTTCGGTAAGGACAAACACTGTCAGAGCTTCATTTAAACACATG